TATATAATCTCCATATGTAAGTGTATATTATTATGATATATGCATTTGCCACCAAAAAGCACATACATAAATTTCACTGCTTTAGATAACCAAACATAAAACTAAATGACATCTACAAACAAATTATTCCAGACCTTTTCTCAGAACTTGTCTGAGTGTCTGATAACTTACAATGTAATGTATTTAAGTGTGGATGAGCTGTCCTGATGCTTTTTTGGGTCTCCGTCTTAGTATTTGTAGATAAAACGTGTTGTAAACATCTTATATTAGGACCTACAAGTATTTTCCCGTGTTTTAACAGAATGTCAATCATGGCGTTTGCATCTAAGTCACCTGAGAAAGTAGGGCTTGGCATAGAACTTAAAATCTTCCCCCTGGATGTAGATGTCAAACTCAGATGTTCTGGTGTAGGGTACACGAATAAGCACAGTAAGGAAATCAGCATCTTGACTCAGTTCAAACGCCGGTGTTATCATGATTACATATGGTGAAGTACTGCAGCAAAAGACAGAAAAACACAAACAGTTACTCAGACATCTCAAACTGGTCAGCAGGGGTAAACAAGGCTAAAGGAATGCTAATACAGTGTTATTATAATTTGAAACCAGTCCTAATGTTACTAAACAAGATCAAGAGGATCATTTGTGAAAAAAGATGAAAATATTATTTTGTTATATCATGTTACTTTATCAATCATGTTATTTTGGCAGGTTTCACTGATCAAAAAAATAACTGAGCACAATCATCACAGATTACAGTTAACATAGATTCCCATTACTTGGACTGTGCGCAAATCTCTAAAAGTTACTACTTGACACCAGTGTTGGGGGTAACGCATTACAAGTAACGTGAGTTACGTAATCAGATTACTTTTTTCAAGTAACTAGTAAAGTAACGCATTACTTTTTAATTTACAAGAGAATATCTGAGTTACTTTTTCAAATAAGTAACGCAAGTTACTTTTTTTCCAATTTATTGATTGACAGCTCTCCTGTCCCCATGTTGAGAGAAATCAGAAGATGTTACTGTAGCTCTAAAATAAATATGAATATGCATTAATTCATCTCATTCACAAAAAAAAAAAAACACAGATTCAGTATTCCTCAAAATGAATAAAAATAATGCAACTCAGAATATGACGCAAACCTGCAATAATTAAATGTTAAACAACACAACTATCCCTTATGTATTTAATGCCATTCTGTTAACCAACGTCTTTGCTTCTGACCTTCGATGATCCAGTTCAACCATACTAATAAGCAAAAATTACTCCAGAAAAACATTTATGTGTCTTTTTTTATTGCTGAAGTGTGTTGAAATGTCTTCTTCTGCATTCTACTGTACGGACGTAAATTTACTTTCCCTTCAGCCTGAGGCTTATTCATTTCACTTTTGGTGTGAAAAGGCTTTTATATTTGCCAAAAATAGAACTTTTTTAGTTTAAAAACAAACAAGCAAGCCCTGTCCAGATTTTAAAAGTAACGCAAAAGTAACGTAACGCATTACTTTCCATAAAAAGTAACTAAGTTGCGTAATTAGTTACTTTTTTTTATGAAGTAACGCAATATTGTAATGCATTACTTTTAAAAGTAACTTTCCCCAACACTGCTTAGCACTGTAATAAGACGTGAAGACTTTATAAAGTCTAACTAGTCCGTACTCAAATAGATATTTGAGAAGTAGAAAGAATAGAGCAGCTTACAACACCACCTTGTGGTTACTCAATTTGAACCCAATGAGACATAAACAACCCATTTGCCGACTAGCACACGATAAACCTCTTGTTTTATTTGATTAGTTTCAACTGAAACTTTACTCTATTTCAACACAACACTGTTATTCACTGAAAGTATTAAGGACTAAAATAAAAGAACACCTTGCTAAATGTCATCCAAGTATCCAAAGTCGCTATGCTAATATGATACGTGCACACAGGATAAAACCAAACCCAAAATAATAAATGATAGCTAAAACCCAACGCAGATTAGAAGCTGTCAAAAGTCTGCTGATGTTGTTTGTACACGCAATGTTAATGCCAACATAAAACAGACAAGACCATGCACTATTTAAGACTTTTACGTTTTCAAATGGTATAGTACGATTTAAATAAGGCAACTGCAAAAAAATATATAAACATTATAAAACAAAACTGATACCTTCACATCTCTTCTGTAAAGACTCCTATGCGCTAAACAACATCAGTAGCACAAATGCAGCACATGGACTGCTTCCTGCTCTCTGGACTCTGGACTGGCCATGTTTTACCGTAATGCCACATATAAGGAGGACTACAAAAATGTTCACTGGAATACTACATGGCAAAGATGAATGATTAAATACATTAATGTAATTTCAAATATGTATCAATCAAATTCAATAAATCAGTATTGTGTACACATGGAAACTGCAGTCAAAATGGATTTATACAAGTTAATAAAGAAGAAAAATGAATATAATATGAATTAAAAAAAATAAACAAGTATATAATAAATAAATATAAAAATGCAAAACAAAAAAATTGTTTTCTGATTTGAACTGTCCCTTCAGCAGATTATTTTTTAATCGAGAAACTGATCAGAAGTGTGAACCAATAGCTACATTTGAACATACAATGCTGCAATATATAAAAATAACATTATTATCTCAGACACTGTTTTAATATCCTCCTGGCAACTAGCTAGACATGGCTATATATAACATATAATAATGTAATACGATAAATATGAACAAATATGTTTCATATAATATGGACAAACATAATAATTATGTAAAAAAAAAATAAACACTGGAAAAGTATTTATATTATTATTATTATTATTATTATCATTATTATTTATTCTTTCTTTTTTTTTTTTACACCAGTAAGGTATTACGGTTTTATGTCACAAGTATGACAAGAATTACGGTAAGGAGTGTAAGGTCCGCCTTCAGAGATTCATGTACGTGTCTGATATCGGCGCTAAGCTGAGCAGCATCGTCTTCATCATCACAGTACAAATGAAGAAGTATGGCTGCACACTACAAATATGTCCCCGTGTTTTAACCAGAGCCATGGTTAAAACATTTCCAAGCGGACAGAGCACTTTTTCACCATGAGGATCCACTGCAAGGTTGTGGCGATCGCGGTATGTTTCGGAGTTTTTCTACTTTTGTACTTTTTCGGGGGGAACGCTGCGGACGAGCCGCCGCTGAAGGAAGTTGCGAAAGAAAAACATTCCCAATCCTTCAGTCACATCGAGGATATAGCACCGGCGAATGAAGCGAAACAAACCAACGAAGAGCCACAAAAGCCACCGAAACTAATCCGCAAAGAGCCGAAGTTGAGCAGCGGAGGAGGAGGGAATGTCATCGCAAAGACTCGGTAGGAAATTCTTCAAGTGCAACATCATGATCAACAACCAGTTTGATGCAAAGCAGAATGTATAAATATGTGTTTCAAGTTGTCAAGATGTATTCAAGCGTTTTAATATAATATAACACGGGTTTTTCTTATACTGGAGTTGATATATAGGCATCCTTTCATCTCCCTTCTGTGCACATGATCAGTGCTTTAGTTTCTTAAGGGCATTTATGACCTCAGTGTGATTTGCAGTGCAAATGCATGATTTAATAACAATCCATAAATCATTGACCTTATCCCGGTTGTCAGTCCAACCAGACAGTCTTGTCAAAAGCCTGCTTTGGCAGTAGAGATTTAGCCAAGAATGTCTTGAACTGATTGTGTAATCTTAGGTTTCTTAATGTAACAAGGAAACCATGCATGACATTATTTTTGCACTACCCACATCCAGATTACTAAATCTTACCAGAGACCAGTGTGCACTGCGCATGCTGCAAAGCCAAGTCCAAGAGCCCGTGTGCATCTCAGCCACAATTATCTCAATTGTGTTTTCATTATGGCTTTATTGAAAAGGTCACATTGAATGCAGATGCCTCGTTCCCAAAGGGTCTCAACAGAGGACAAAATCAATGATTGGTTGTGCTGAGTGAGTGAACACGGTCCCTTGTGAGTGGAGGATGGAGCAGTTTATTCATCAAGATGATCCGCCCTTTCCGAGACATAATTAAAAGGAGCTGTCACATTCATCCTTTAAGTGAACGGAAGATTGGTTCATTTGTGTCAGTATTTTGATAGTGTAAAATCAATAATGTCAAGGTTGGCGAACTATAGATGGATGTCTTTTTTATAGTGTAAAATCAATCCTGCATTCCTTTCAGCAAGCATATGTTATCACCCTTCTGACAGCTTCACATAAACGCCACTAATTGCATTTGTGAGATGTCTCAACCCTTTGACCCTCCTGTTGGGTTTCCAGCAGTGATCCGTCTTGATGTCCACACCCCTGTGAATGCTCTCTGCTGATAAACCCACAATGCAAAGGGCCAACGCAGCCACAGGGAAATTAGTTAAACAGATCCACTGTACAAACAGGAGGGATGAGAGGGTGTGATTTGGAAAACGCTCTACGTGTTTAATTCCTGGCTCCCTATCCATCTCCACAGAGGAAGGAGGAGGGGTGAAACCGTCTTGTCTCGTATGACCTGTTGTTTTATTTGGAAGTGATTAACTCTTCCGCACGTTTTTACTTTTTTAAGCGCATCCTCCAGACGTGCTTCCCGCCTCACTACTGCAAAACAGACAAATGTGTCCCGGTTGATATGTTTCATCACGAACAGGGGGCCCTGAGGGTCTGTTTTGACACAAGGGCTCTAACAAACACAAACCTTTTGATCCCAATCTCTAATTTCTATATTTTTATTATTAAAAAGAATAGTGAAAAATTCCTTCATGTGCTCAACCTCATGTCATACCAAACCTGTATGAAGATATTTTGAAGAATATGGAGTGGTACAGAGAATATGTAATTTTATAGGCCAAAACTCAGACATTTTAGCACTTCTAGTTCTATCATCCTGAAGTCAATGGGTTTTTGGTTAAAACTCTGAAATAAGCTCATGATATTTTAACATTTTTTTTCTACAACAAAAAGTATATCAGTAATACCTGCATGTTAGAATTGTGCTCTTGCAAACTATTATAATTTTCAGGAATTATAATTTTTTTTCTAAAAGCTGAAAGAGATGACTGAAGATTAATGGTAGTGACATTAAAGTCATGCAAGCATCATGTACCTATGTTTAGCTTTTTACTTTTAGGGATTGTGTTAAGGCTTACTTTCATGAAAGTTGTGTTCATTTGTGAAGATTATCATGATGAAAAAAACATGTAAGAAATGAATCATAAACTTTTCTTGGCCACTGAGCTTATTTTCTGCAATTATCCAAAAGCCAATGAAAAAATCCTTTTAGGTTTTTTGTCAAGGGAACCATGGTGATGTGAGCTTCCGGGTTGGCCTACAAAAATACGTCTACAAAAAACAGTTTTAGTCTAAATAACATTGACCACCATTGGCTTTCATTGTTTGGACGCTGTATGGGCATTTTTCTAAGTATCTTCTTTTTATTCCAAAGAGCAAATAAAGTCATACAGGTTTGGAATGACATGATGGTCAGAAAATGATGACAGAATTTTCATTTTTGGGTGAGCTGTTCTTTTAATGCAACTACGTCAAATGACACTGAAGTAACAAGCATGCAGCTGTAAATTCACGTTTCTTTCAGACCCTTTCCCAAAGGAATCTGCATTACTGGAAAGCTGTTTGCTCACAACACCTCTCTTGTGTTTTTCCAGAACCGCAAAACACCACTGCACACGTTCCTGCAGCACCTAGGAATAAGTGTCTAAAAGAATAGCTCGCTCTGTCATCTGTAATGCAGCTATGACTAAAGGCAACTGCCGCGTGGCAGCTACATTATATGAAGCCATAAACATGTCATGAAGGAAGACTAAGAGCCCTCCATTTGTGTGTGTGTCTCTCTAGCCTCTTTTTTATCATAGATTCTATACGAAACACAGATATCTCTCCATTGTTACCCTCGCCTCTCAATGAGTTTATTCCTCCCCTGCGATATTTATCTTTTAGCCTGGAGCACACTAGCATTTCACTTCAGGTTTTAAAGTCAGGGTGCCATGGAACAGCTGGCTCTGCCAGGATAGGTATGCAGCAGACATTCGGAAGAGGGGAAAAAGTGCTAATAATTTAGATTATAGAGTGCGGTGCATAGCTCTAGGAAAAGCACTGGCTGATTTCCATACACTCAGCCTTGTGGGGCTGGCTTCAATTAGCCATCATATTCGTTCTGGATATGCTTTTTTGGTCTACCTAATCTGTCAGAATAGTATTTCTATTATTTTTTGTAATGCATTTTTGTTTGTTTGTTTCCAAAAGGAAACCCTTGAAACGATTTGTTAGCCTAAGATGAATTGAAATTATGCTGCACTTCACGCTGGATTGTGGGATTGTGGGAAGCCTTGGTGATTTGTGCATCGTGCACATTACAGATCTGCTTTATGCCAGCTTATTCTATTTTTATGTTCATCCCATGCTGTCCAGTGGGACAGATAATTGGATGCAAAATATTTGCCTGCTTCATAAAATATTAAAGCAATTACAGTTGTTAACGTGAAGTTACTTTTTTAATTTAATTAACTTTTTCAAAACTAAAAAACAAAAATAAGCACAAACTAGGGCTGTGCAAAAAATCGAATGCGATTTTCATGCTCATCTCGTCAGTAAAGCCGGTTCTGTGATTTGTAGTAAATCTCCAGTACGTGCTTTCAGATGGAGCGGCATTTACTACACAGAGCCGTAGATCACTGACAAGCTGCGCAAAATCGCATTCAAAATCGCAGGCGATTCATTGGCTTGCGTAGCAAATCCAGATGTGTCCACTCAGACTGCAAGAATTTTTATAAGCTCAGAACATTTCAGTAGTAATCAAATTCAGTAGTGTGTTGGTCTTATGCTTGATGCGTTGTTTAGGATCAAAGAGTAAATGCCTCTCAGTGGACAAATGATTGAAGAAATGAAAAGAATAAATAGTTTATCATCATTCAATCAGACCATTGATGCAATTCCTGTTGCTTAATTTGCAGTGCTGTAAACAAGGGAAGCTTTTTCCACAGGAAACCACAGCCATCAAAGCAGATTCTACAGTCTTTTATGTTACTAGTCAGAAAAATCAGAAAATGAACTGTCAGATCTGGAAATATCCCATCTTCCCGTTTGTCAAAGCCCAAGGTGTTTCCATGTTTTTCCTATTCTTTATTTCACTTCATATCAAGGTCTGTGGTTCACTTGAAATGAGAGCAAGAGTGTTTGCATGTCCTTGACTTAATGGAAGCTCTTTGATGTCTGCCTGAAAGGCTGCGTGCTTTTCTTGTGGTATGAATTTGTTTCCTCCACCAAAGCCTTGGATAAATGGAGGACTTTTTTCCCAGAGGTCGTCTCTTGGGTAGAACTTTGAGGGTTAGAGAGCTTGCCTCCCTGGAGTGATAGAGACTCAACATGAATCACAAAAGCAAACATCACACCAATAACAATTATGATGGAGATTCAAGACAAGGAAATGAGTGAAACTCCGGGTCATGACGAACAAGAGTGCTGCTCGTCTGCATGTTTAATATCTCAAGTTGTCTTCAAACTATCGGTTGATATTAAATCAATTTCTCTGAGAAATAAAGATGAAAAAGTTCTACAGGTGACATCTTGTGTGCTGCATATATAATACATTTTTAATATTTTTAATTTTAATATGGTAAAATAGTTATGTAAAAAATGTTAAAAATTTTTATATAATTTAAATACTTCATTTTAATAATAGGTTAATATAAATAATTATAAAATATATTTTGTTATTAAGTTTGCCCTTTTGTCCTCACATCGAGTTACTTGCAAGTTGGTCTGACTCTGACTCAGAATTGTTTACCCTTGAATCATTTAAATGAGGCTTTCAATGTGCCAGAGGAACCGTGCGCAGCATAAGGAATATTTCACGAGTGTGTTGTCTCACGGTTTGACCCAGCTGATTCGTACCAGATGTTTTTGTTGTTGATGTCACAGTTTGGATGAGTTTTGATGGACTTAAGCTTTTTTCTTTACCTCTAGGCAGAAAAGTGAGGTGGGGCGTCCTGGGTCAAAGGTCACACAAGCAGAGGATATCATGCACTTGGCAGTGGTGGCTTGTGGGAACCGTCTAGATGAAACGCTCAACATGGTTAAGTCAGCACTGCTCTTCAGCATAAAGATGATCAAATTTCACATCTTTGCAGAGGAGGACCTGGCCGAACAATTTGAAAAAGGGGTGAGAGCATTGTACCATGATTCTTTTATCTTTGCTGTGGCTTTTTAATGTTGATGGTAATGTCTAGTTGACCGGTGACCTAAAATTGTCTTTTTTTTTTTCTTTTTTCCTTCTGATGTTTTTTTTTTTTAATGATTTGAGTATCTTTACTTATCTAAAGTTTGTTTTATTCTCAGAAAAGCTGTGTAATGGGTATCTCAGTTCCCGGTGAAAAGAATATATTGCTGGCTCTCCAGCTATTTTATCTCTGCAGTGGGCTATATTTTACCTTCGACAAAGCTTCATCCCCTAACTATGCAGCTCTCTTGGACCAAAATGTTGCTTTGTTCATTTGACATTAATTATAGTAATTCTAATCATTATTAGACTGAATGTCTTTTTACATTCTTAGTAACTAGCTATACAATTTCTCATTGTATTTAAACAGACCACCTTTGATAGAACCCCTAGTGTCAATTTTGTTTTAGTGGCTTTGTGGTAACCCTCAGACAATGTCAGGCTAACCCTGACAACCAATCTGGTGAGGAGGGTAACGTGAGAAACCTTTGCGCATAAATCTATCCATCTCTTAGCATGCACTTAACTCATTATTCAGTTTCTGGTAGAGTGGCCTTTCTCCACAGTCCTAATAGTTTCTCTCGACAGAGGGACTGTTATTGAAAATAGCAGTACTTTGTTTTTTTTACACTCAGACAGCCGATGCTTTTTGAGAAGTGCCCTCTGGCCTAGAACTGATCTTGATCTAGTCTTGCACCGTATTGCTGCAGATACAGGAACTGAAAGCTTTGAAGAGCGATAGTGAAGGAATGCAATGTCATTTCAAAAGATTTCTTCAATATTTTTTTCTGCAGCCTTTTCAGCAGTAGTTATTTGGCTGTCAGCAGGATATTATAAACCAGTACTTCTTAACTGATGGGTTATGACCCAAAAATGGATTGCAGGTCTGTTCTAATGGGGTCCTGGACAGCTAGGAAAAACATTGCCAACTGGGAATAATAAAGTGCAACCAACTGTATAATCATGTATGGTTAGGATGGAAAAATAAGTTGAATTTATTTTTCAAATACATTTTTTTTTATATATTTATAAGAATTTAATATGTTTTGTTGTTGAAATGCATCTAACAAATTTACACAGTTGAATTTACAAAAAAATACTGTCAAGTTTACAGTCACTTGATATTATGGCTATTATTAATAAAGTAATAATTGTATTAATTTTTGTTATTTATTTACCCAGTTTTTGCTGCATGTGTTGGTGTAATGCATTTTGAAAATGATCAGATTTCTGATTCTGAATAATTTTGCATATTACTTGACTTGTGCAGTTTTTGGTGATATTAATACTTTTTTTATTATTAATTTTTATTATTGTATGTGTATATATATATATATATATATATATATATATAATTTTTTTTTATTTTTTTTTACACATTTTACTTAGACAAAAACACAATGCAAAAATCTCACAAAATGGCTACATTTGTTACTTTTTGCAATTTGTCTAAAAAAAAAAATCATAAAATTACACACTGGTTTGTGTCAAAGCTGAAAGCAGGGAAAATTGATCTTTAAGATGTTAAAACATGTCATGTCCTACTTGGTTAGAACAAGGTGTAACAATATGGGTAGACATCTTTGGGACTTACCCATGCAACAATATGGCATTCTATAAATCACAATTCTTACAAACATAACAAAATGTTGCTTTTTGGAAGGATTGGTATAGGTCTCCTCACACTCTTCTCTTCACTGACACCTGTAAGCAATAGATTTGTGGTTTACTGAAGACTGACAGCCATGACATTGACTGAATCTTTCAATTTCCTCTCACAGTTCAGTCAGTGGCCTCAGACGGTGTCCTCCAGGTTTCACTATAGCATATATCCAATCACCTTCTCTGTGGGGAATGCAGACGAATGGAAGAAACTCTTCAAGCCATGTGCTGCCCAGAGGCTGTTTCTTCCCGTGGGTTCCCGCCGCTGCTTAATTTTTTGTCTTCATTTGTTTGTGCTTTCCACCTCACCACACCAACTGTAACCAAGTATCTCCTCTGATATCAGGTTATCCTGAAAGACGTGGACTCGCTGTTGTACGTGGACACAGATGTTCTCTTTCTTCGCCCTATGGATGACATCTGGAAGTTTCTGAAGGCTTTCAACAGCACTCAGCTAGCTGCCATGGCCCCAGAGCACGAGATCCCCAAGATCGGCTGGTATAGCCGCTTCGCAAGACACCCCTTTTATGGAGTCACAGGGGTCAATTCAGGGGTCATGCTAATGAACCTCACACGGATTCGTAGTACTCCGTTCAGGGTAAGAAACAATAGAATTGACTTGACTTTTTGTCAAATGACTGATAAAATGACTGATTTTAGTTTAGTTTTGTGCTTTATTTTTAAAATAAATAAATATTTTTTTCATTTCATTTCATCATTTATTGGTTTTATAACTTGAAAAAATTAGCAGCAGTATTAGCTAGAATTTTAGTATTGATCATGCATCTCTATTAAATACACTTTTATTTATACATATTAAAAACAGAAAATATTTTTTGTAAATATTTTAGATTTCATATCTTTTTGCATTATTTATGGTGCTTGGTTATTACTAGATATTGCCAGTGTTTTCCTTGTGTGGTTTATTTCTCTTGATAGTGGGCTGAGGCTTTGGCGTTCACGTGTCTTCTGAGGTTTCTTTGCACATTTAAATCCTTTTAACCTCAGGCTGTTTTCAGTAGGCAGTGATATCATGGAAGCCTACTGATTGCCATCCATCGAGTGCGAGTGGGTGACAGCAGTCTGGATTAGCATATTTCTGTAACTCAGCTAGAAGTGTTATTTCCAACCCAAGCACATCTTCGAGGCTGTCTGGGAAGACAAAAAGGAAATTTCTTCTTCTGAAAAACACCTCAATTTCCATATCAACAGCTGTCTGAAAAGTGGCTGCCAGACTCACTGTTGAGGAAAATAACCTGCCACTATTGATTTTACAGAACAGCATGATCGCCAGCGGTCTGTCGTGGGAAAATCTGCTTCACCCTCTCTATCAGAAATACAAGAACCACATCACATGGGGAGACCAAGACCTCCTCAACATCATCTTCCACTACAATCCAGGTACATGTGTGTTTGCTCAAAGACATGCTTGAATATGATGTGTGATTTCACAACACTAGCAAAAAAGAACTATGGTTATGCAGTGGTTTTTTTTGGACACGTACCATGGTATTTTTTGAAGTACCATTGAGTATGCTGTAAATACAATGGTATATATCAAAATACCTTGGTTTTAGTGTGTTTTTTGGACATATACTATTAATACCATGTTTTTGGACGTGTGCCATGGTAATACATAAGAATATTAGAGGTCGACTGATAGTGGATTTTACCGATACCGATACCAATAGCTAGGTTGGACCACACTGGCCAATAAAGATTAATCAAACGATAGTTTTTAAGATACTGAATGAAAACTAAAATAGTGCTTTACTATTTAATAATAATAATAAAAAAAAACCTGAACCATACTTTGTAAATTAATAAAAATATTAATATTAATACCTTGGTTTTAGCATGTTTTTTTGGGGGCGTGTTATATTTATACCATGTTTATTGGACTTCCATGGTATTTTTTTAAATGCCTTGACATATCCTGTAAATAATACATGATGTACATCATGATAACATCATAATACTTGTACTATATTAATACCATGTTTTTGGCCATGTGCCATGGCAATACAATGGGTATTCCTTGAAGGACATTGGAGCATTGTGTAAATACTGCCATGGTATATATCTAAATACTTTGGTTTTACCATGGTTTTGGACATGTACCATGACAATGCTGTGATCGAAAGGATTTTGTACATACTGTGGTAAATATCAAAATACCTCAGTAGTATTATCATGTTTTTGCACATGTAACATGGTGGTGGTTATATGAAAGTATCATGATAATACCATTTGATACCATCAGTGCATCTTACCCATTTCTTACCCAAAAGTAAGAGAAGTTTTTCAGTTAATCTTTGAAACTGGCATAGAAACCTGTCTCCTTTCTTTATTTTTGTTGCGCACTAGAGTGTTACAGCACTAGTTTAATTATGTTTTTGCTGGAGGCTTAAATCCAATTTGAAAAGCTGTTTTACTTATTTGACTTGTGAAGCCCTGCAGCTTTGTATCATGTACATCTCAACTAAAAATTCCAACTGTGATTGTTATTTCTAGTGCAGAGCTGGAAGCCAGGTCCTATGTCTTTCCATTTGTACTCAAAAAGAAAATCAAAAAGATATGATGACATGAGAGAGTTTTTTTTCAGTTCTTTCTTTCCTCGCCCTCCTGAAAGTTGCTGTTTTATCTGGTTTTATAGAGATAAGGCCCTTTTGTGTAGGTAAATACTACTGGAACAGGTGTGACAAAGACTGGGTGCAGTTATTAAAGGGTTAGTTCACCCAAAAATGAAAATTCTGTCATTAATTACTCACCCTCATGTCGTTTCAAACCCGTAAGATCTTCGTTCATCTTCGGAACACAAATTAAGATATTTTTGATGGAATCTGAGAGCTGTCTGACCCTGCATAGACACAACAATTTGTCTCCTCCGCATCACCCTGTAGCGCCATTTTGGAGAGTATCAGCTGGACTAAACAACGTATGCCGTTCTGTGTCAGCTGCGTCACGCCAAATCTGTTTCCTACGTTGTTGTGATTTGATCTGAACGGAAACAGCGTATCCGTGCGACGCAACTGACACAGAACAGCATACGCTGTTTACGTCCAGCGAATATTCTCCAAAATGACACCAGGGTGATGCGGAGGAGACGAATTGTTGAATAAAGTCGTTTTTTTTTTTTCTTTTGCGCACAAAAATTATTCTCGTAGCTTCGTAAAATTATGGTTG